TTTAGCCCAAAGATAACACACATGGGTGAAGTGACGTTAAGAACAGAATGGAAACAGTCCAAATGTTCCTCAACAGAACTTGGTAAATAGACCACGGTACAGCCACACATGGAGTTGTAAGGGAGTCAAGTTCAAACAACCACCAAAGATGTTTGTGCAGTGATATGGAACATTCTTCAATATACAATGTTAAGTGAGAGGAAAGGCAACATGTAGAGTGCCTAGTGTTGTTTTGGTTGCATAAATGGAAGGGAGGGAAGCATAAAAATATCTCTACCAAGATACACAAGAAACTTTTAAACAGTACTTTCTTTGGGGTTCCAGTCCACTCATTCCACTAAAAGCCCCAGAGGATGAGTAATTGTTAAAAGACTTTTCTGCAGGTTCAGGCCCTGGGGAGATCAGACAGGGACTAGTACCTCTCTGCCCAGCAACTCTCTGGCCCTACCCTGAGGCCTCGCCTCCTGCCCTTTGAGCCTGTCCTTCCTCTGTTTACAAGGGCAAACAAGTGGGTTCTGAGAGGGGCGGGGAAGGAAAGGAGCCCGCCCATTGGTCAAGGGCCCGCCTCTGCCTGAGGCCAATCCCTGAGCTCTGTGCCCTGGGTCCTCTAGACTGGCCTTGCCCGTCACTCTCACTTGACCTGGAAGTCCAGGGTCTCAGTTTTCTGTTAATAGGGTGGCTGTGAGATGCAGTAGTGGGGTCCAGGTGCTGAGGAGCCCAGCTGATGGAGATGTTTATGTAGTGCTAGACAGATGGACAGACGCCTTTCTACTTCTCCATACCTTTCTGTCTCCCCTTAACACTCCTTCCGTTCTTTTCCCTCCTAGCTGCTTGTATTTTGTAAAGACCCCCTGGGCTTTCTTGATGTCACTGTTTGGTAGGAATATAGAGATGGGAAGATTTCTTGAAAAATGTAATCATGGCTACCCCTCCCTCACATATTTAAGGCATGTTGTCAGTCAGAAGGGGCTAGTCCTTGGAGAAGGACATCATACTTAGAAGGGTGGAAGGTCAGCACAGGAGAAGACCTGGATGAGAAGGATTGACACAGTGACTGTTGCACTGGGGTGAGGTGCGTCAGAGATGGTGAGGTTGGCTCAGGTTGGCAAGGTTCAGAGCCATTGTTCATAGGGTCACTATGAATTGCAGTCAACTCAATGGCACATAACATAACAAGAACAATAGTCCTTTCCTTCCCTCAATCCTCACATTACTCTACTGTGGGTGGGGAGGGGCCTAATGGAGCTGCTCATATTTACCTACTAACAAGTTTCTTCTACTCACTAACAGAAGTGCTTATGGTTGTTAGGTACTGTCAAGTAGACTACAATTTATAGCAACTCTATGAACGACTGATGAGAACCTTGCCCTATCCTGTACCAGCCTCACAATCTCTGCCATGCTCAAGCCCATTGTTGCATATTCATAGACTACAAAAATCAGGAAACATTTCTCATGACCATGTGCCCTGCCGAGACTCTTTTCAGCTATAAATAAAAGCACATATGGTTGGTTATATCTCATTTTATAGAAATTATCTGATTATGTCTGTGTCCCACTCTTTCCAAGAGGACCAGGATCATGTCTAATTTTTCTCCTTTTCTGTCTGCAATACCCAGCCCATTGCCTCCCACAAAGAAAATGGCCAATACTTGTTTGTAAAATGAATTCATATTCCTAGATATCTGCCCTAAAACCCATACAGGAGTATCCCTTGGCTTCAGCTCCTAGTTCTGGCTATCTTTGGGATGGAGGACAGAGGCATCTCAAATGTGTGTCTGAAATGTCTCAGCTCTAGCTAAACCTTTCTCTGGTAAGGCTAAACACTTCTAGGTTCATCCTCTAATCTAGGGTTCCAACATCCTTTTACTCCAAATTTGGTAAGCGGTTTCTAGTGCAAGGACTCTAAGAGCCAAGGCATGTATAATGTTGTAACGTCTTCATTTCTAAGATGACCCCTTCTATGGTGGAACCCACAGACTGGTAGGAGAGAATATATGGCCTAGATAATAACCAGAGGATAAAAAATGACCCAGGCCAGGATGGTCTAAGTTGTAACTGGGATCCTGGCCCAGCATGACCAGAGGTCCTGTGATCCATTCTGACCCTGAAGTGAGATCTGAAGGAGAAGAGTTTAGCAGACAAGGACAAGGGGTAGTTACTCTCCAGTGCACTGCCCCACTTACTCTACTTTGTTGAAAGTACCCACCCACACCTCAGCCATGGTCTCCCTGTCTGAATGGAGCCGCCTTTCCTCTATTCTGCCAGGAGAGGGCACCCTGGTTCTAGTTTTGACTTTAATTTGCCTTAGTCCAAATTCTCTCCGGGAGTGAGATTTTTGGCAACTATGATTTTATATAAATTGGCATAGAAAGATGATAACCCAGAGACAGCACCCCTCTTGTGGTTTGAATCCACCAATTTCTCCAAGGGAAAAAGATGGAAGAGTTTCTTTAAGGGAGAAAGTCTCTTTCCATGTATTTACGGCCTCCTGAAAACCCACTGGACCATCAGTGGATTGTGAAAATTCAGTGATCTCATTAAAGGAGCCCTAGTGACAGAGTCGATTAAGTATTGTGATGCCAACTGAAAGGCCAGAGTTTCACCAGCTTCTCTGTGGGAGCAAGATGAGGCAATCTGCTTCCATGAAGATGTGTAAGCTTAGAAACCCCATGGGATGTTCTACTTTGTCGATAGCATCCCAGGAGTTGGAATCAATGCTATGGCAATGGGTAGCTGATTTCTTGTAAACTTCCTTGTGTCTGTAGACAGCCAATGACAATTGACTGTGCTTATAGAATAAAAAACCAAGGCCCAGAAAAATTGGATGGATGTGGCAAGTGAGACGTTTTCAAACTTGTTTTTTTAAGACCTTTACCCCCTAAAAGCATCTGGTCTGGGTGTTGATAGTGACAGTATAATAATAATAATAATATTAATAATAATAATAAATTTTTTTATGTACCATTGAATTGGAACCAACCCATAGCTGATCCTTCAGCAGGTGTTTAAGGCAGTAAATCACATGGGATGAAATTGCCCATCTTTCTCTCACGGAACAGCTGGTGGAACTGCGTGCCTTTGGATTGGTACAACTCCTTACCACTAAGCCACTAGTGCTCCCTATAATAATACTGTTTGGGTTTTTTTTTTAATAATATTGTTTTTATTTTTATGTGCCATCACGTCAAGTATGGCTTATCACAAACAACAGTAGATCTGAACCCTATCCTATCCTGCATCTTCCTTTTCATCTCTGAAATACTTGAGCCCATTCCTGCAGTCACTGTGTCAATCCCTATCATTAAAGGTCTTCCCGTTCTTCACTCACCCTCCACCTTTCCAAGCATGATGTCCCTCTCCAAGGAATAGCCTCTGCTAACAGCATACCCAAAGTATATGAGATGAAGCTTTATCATCTTTGCCTCCAAGAAATACTCTGGCTGCACTTTCTCTAACATATGCTTGTTTACTTTATTTGGCAGTTTGTGGGATAGTCAGTATTCTCCAATACCACAACTCCAAGGCATCTTTTATCATGGACTGCTAAGAAAACAAACAGATTCATCCTGGAAAGGGTTAAACCGGGTGCCTCCTTGGAGGCAAGGATTCTGAGGCTCCTTCTAACATACTTTGGACATGTTGTAAGGAAGGACCAGTCCTTGGAGAGGGACATCATGCTTGGTAGAGTGGAGGGACAGCACAGGAGGGGAAGGCCCTCTATGAGGTGGATTGATTCAGTGACTTGGGAAATGGGGATGGGAGTTTCAGAGAGAGTGTGATTGGCACAGAACAGAGTAGAGTTTAGGGCTGTTGTACATAGGGTCGCTATGAGTCGCAAGCGACTCGAAGGCACATAACAACAACAACCTTCATTATCCAGCTCTTATATGCGCAGTAGGTGATTGGAAAGATCATAGCTTGAATCAGGTTCACCTTGGTCTTTAAATGGACATCATTACTCTTCAAGACTTTGGAGAAGACCCTGACAGCAGGCTTTCCCAGTGCTATATGTCTCCTGATCTCCTCACTGCTAGTACCACGGGTGTTGATTGTTGTTGTTGTTGTTATGTGCCGTCGAGTCGCTTGCGACTCATAGTGACCCTAAGTACAACAGCCCTAAACCCTGCTCTATCCTGTGCCAGTCTCACTGCC